AAATCTATCAACAGCACCCGCGTTGGCGGTTTGATCAGCATGCCAGGTGTTTTGACACCGAATGCGCCTATCGACGCGGCTTTTGTCCCAAGTATCTTGTTTACTGCAAAGACTGGTAAGCCTTTGACCATCTCTCATCGATCAAATGCCAAGTATGCTGACAACGAAAACACAGTGAAAGGATGTTGCGCCTTCCCACGTAACGCAGTTGTCGAACTAGCGCAGTTCGTTGAAGCGTACGGCATCAAGCCAGTGGTGGCGCACGAATATGCTCTCGACCAGACTGTTGAGGCATTTGAGATGATGGCGAAGCAGAGTGCTGTGGGCAAGATCGCTGTCAGGATTGGTGGAGGAATGTGAGGAGCATGACGATTCTACTGTTGTCACCACTGTCGTTACAATACCTGTCGAATCTACTTATAACATACCTGCAATACGCGGTACTTGACGCGATCCCTTTTCATGATGCATTTTGTATTGCGCAAGCTGTGAGTGGCTTGTTTCGTTCTGTGTCCTCGCACTACCAGTCAACGCCAACCAAAGTTGAGGATGCTAGGGTACCTTCCTACGGGGCACCTTGTGAGTATATAACAGCGACGTCTGTGTTTCCAAGCCGTAACTTTACACAGTGCTGTCAGTCTAATCTCATATACCCCACCCTCGTAAAATGGATTCACTTAAGCACATCAGCCGAATCTTCCTGGATCTTAGCGGGGAGCGAAGAAAGGCGAGCATGAATTCATCCTTCAATACGGGTGATTTAGAAGACTACGCAAAGTTCAGAAGGCTATTCAACCAAACACGCTGGTTAGGGGAGGGGGGTGATGGCACAGTCTATGCATACCAACAAAAATACTCGAAAGCGCTCATTGCAGTAAAAACTCCTATTGCGTACAACACCCCTTACCATGCGTCTCAAGCAGCTAAACGCATCAAAGACGAAATCGCAAATCTTACCATCCTCGGTCGGCATGAGCACATCGCCGGAATGTTAGCATGGTCGCATAACCATCATCCCGCGGCCCCAGCAATCTTCCTTCCATTCTGCGAGCTAGGAGATCTTCTTGCATACATGGTCGACTATAAAGAGCAGCAACTCCGGCATTCAAAACTTATTATACGAACACCCGAGGTCACAATCTGGAAGTGTCTTCGCGACATGGCCCTTGCTCTAGATTACTTGCACAACATGAACGCCGAGTTTGGCTACATACACAACGACGTCAAACCAGACAACATCCTGATCGAATTTCCCAAAGGCTGGAATCCAAAAGATGGGATCCCTGATGAGCCGGTCTTCAGATTAGCCGACTTCGCTCGCATGACACGATACCCTCTACCCGAAGGAGAGAAGCCCAAAAGAGATTTCCTTGGCACACCGGAATACGCACCGCCATTAGCCGAACAAGAGAAGCAACGGCCGTCCGTTGATATCTGGGCTCTGGGTGCGACCTTACAAACGCTCGCTTTGAGAATATATCCCGTCCAATCGCGGGAGGCTTTCGTCGAAAGTCAGATAAAGGCAAACAAACCCGCGCCTATCCTGATTGACGACGGCGCTTGGAAACAACTAAAATGGCGTATTCTCATACCCACCGTTTACCGCCCCCTCGACGCTACACAGGAGGAACTAATGAATCACCACGACGTCCGCATGTCCATCTGCGCCAACGGTGCGGACGCGTACAGGGCTTGGAAGCATTGGCCGTATACTAGAACACTCAACACCTGGTATAAAAGCATGTGGGAACGGGACGTGGAGAAAAGAACTACGGCAAAGCAGCTTGTCGAGTGGTGCGTTCCGTTGATTGCGAGGTATATTCGCATTGCGCGGCATACGGAAAAGGCGGAAGAGTGCTTTGAGAAGGCGGCGAAGTTGAGGGACGAGGTCGAGGGGAAACAGCAGAATAGAGAGCTGAGAGTCAGGGCTATTGAGCTTTTGGATGCGCCTAGCTATGAAGGTAATGGGTATGGTGATCTTTGAGGCAGAATAGATAAAACTAAAGATTCTTTAAGCTGAACGCACCCTAAGCTCCGGTGTGCTATGAGTGTATGTTAAAACTTCCTCCGTGTCCTCCCATTGCTCGCTGTTATCAGCGGACGCGCAATCAAGACTTACAACTCTTGCTTGGTAAAAGTCGAGTTCTTGACCTTTGAAATCTTGAATCCACCAGGCGCCTGAGTCTGGAACATACCCCTAGGGTCGTACTTCTTAGCTGCAGCGCGGATCTTAGCGACGTTTGCGGAGCCGTAGCTACCAAGTGGGTCCTGGTACGCGTCGGCGTAGTTGAGGTACTGCCAGTCTACCAGAGCGTCTTTGCTGGCAGCGAATCTTTGCATCTCTTCGGTGACGGCCCTGAGCGCCTCTCTCGCGATGGCTTCGGTCTCTTCTCCTTTGACAGCAATGTCGAAAAGAAGCATGACTGCGTTGTCCTTTACGAGATCAAGACCCATGACGTTACCACCGCGTTCCTTGCTGTGCTCGGCAAAGGTGGTCGGGATAGCTTGAAACATGCACTGGGTGATGAAATCGCCGTCGGTACTGATGGCCTTCCATGCTTCGACAAACTTGGTGTGGGCGTCGACAATGTACTTGAATACGGTGGCATCGTTCTTGAAGGTCATGGTGAACCAGATATCACTGGACCGGTCAGTTTGATCATTTTGTAGCGTTCAGGATGACATACCGGTATCCCGTAGGTTGCTCAAGCTCGTCAGTAAGGTTCTTGTGGCTTGCCTTCCTTGTAGTGTCGGATAGAGCAGGGATAGCCATGAACTTGTCGAAGCCTGCGGGAGCTACGTTTCCGGCAACATCCTCGTATGCGGCAATGATGACGATATCCTTCATGGCCGGTAGGTAGCTCCAGAAGACGATGCTGGAGCCGTCGGGGTAGTTCTCGACATTGTCGACCCATGCTGTGTAAGCTTCGACGTGTTGTTGTGTGTGGTTCTTGTCGTGAACCCTGACACCACCCCAAAGGTCCCCGGCAGCGAATGTTTGCACGTCGTAGCGGGTGACGATACCGAAGTTGAAAGATCCGCCCTTGAGGGCTGTGAAGAGGTCGCTGTTTGACGTGGCGTTTGCGTTGACGACCTCGCTGCTTGGTGTTAGCGACAAGTCATGTATTGTGTGATGATGCGACGGAGTACTAACCCATCCGCAAGGACAACCTCGAAGTTCTGTACCTGATCACAAGCAAAGCCCCTTCGCGCAGTGTAGAAAGAGTTTCCGCCTCCAGTCAAGAAACCAGCAACACCGACACTGCTTGCTCGTCCACCCGCAACAGTCACCCCATAAGGTTCAAGTGCTCCGTAAACACCACCCCATCGGGTGCCAGGCTGGAATCGTGCGAGGTTTGCTGCCTCATCATAGATAGTTGTGTTCATAAGACCGAGGTCGAGTGTCACGCCATCATTAATGTTGTTGGACCCGGCCCAGGTCGAATGACCACCACTCCGCACCGCAAACTTGCAGTTGCTTTGCGCACCCAGGGTCTTGACAGCAGTCGAAACCTCTTCGGTAGATACTGGTTGGACAATGCATTTAGGCTGCAACTGAGCACTCACCGACCAGTAAGATGCTGTTCGGTTCTTGTACTGTTCATCATTCTCGTAAAAGATCTTTTCGAGTCCGGCAACCTCCAGCGATGAACACTACATCCGGTCAGCAATGGTCAAAGTTTGACTAGGGAGTACCCGTCACGCACGCAACTGTCATTCTTACTGCCAAGAACCGCGTTCTTGCGGGCACCGGACTGGGCAGCTTCGGCGTGCAATCCCAGAGATGCAACAATAGCCGGTGCAAGGAGCTTCATGCTGTCTCAACTTTAAAACTTAGCACACTCGAAAAAGATGTTGTTGGACCGATATGCCGGGTCGGCTGGGGTTTTATTGCCGCCATTGCTGCAGGCAGATCTACCATGCCAGCAGCGGCTAACAGCACCCGAAGGAGATATCGCTCCAACTTGGCATTTAAACCTGAAAAGTCCTCCTCCTGCCTAGGTAGGCGGCTCTTATGCGGATCTTAACATGTATAGCAGAAGGGTACATATCCAGCTGCCGTTCTAACACGTGGTGTGCGCATTAGCCTTAGGGAGGGGTGTGCTCCTCTGGTCCCTGAGAAAAGAGGCGAGGGCTCCAGATATTTTCATCGATATGATAGGCAAATATTGTCCTTGGACACGGGACGGTAAAATGGAACCTATCACACTCTGCACCAATGCCGCGGGCGGTCCGAACGCAAGACCCACAAGCTACGGGAATAGCTAGTATCGGCCTTATCCGTCGGGGCTTCGACGTTTTCGATCTGTAGGATCAGATCCTACCCTCATCGCACGCGTCAGCATCGACTCTTCGCTCGCATTGCGGCCAATTATTATGCTTCAGAAATGCGGATCTGAGAGGTGTTCACCATGACTCTCATAGCATATCGGTTATCGCATCTTCCGATCTGTTCAGTGGATTCAGTGGAGACTGGGGGATGAACCAGATGAGCACTGAATCGTCTTGTGGACTGGAGTATGGAGGCCTGATATATAGTTTGAAGTGGTCTGAAGTCAGTAAACCAGCAGCCAAATATACATTGGCCATGGTCTTCCCGATCACATGAAGGTGTCATATCTATCTGAGCAAGACCCCGGACCCCTTCTCGGTAGTTATTGTGCCTCCATGTCCGTGTCGAGGTCAACGGTCTGGCGGAGGAGTCAAGTTTTCCGAGACGGGCCTTCACGTCCAGGCGAGTACTTCGATGCGATCGACATCAATGTCGTTCATATCCACTCCCCATCTATTCCGCCCCTGGACTGGGAATTTAGCGCAAACTTGGCTGTCGAGCCTCCACAACCTTATGTGTAAAGCACCTCCGCCTGCTAGTAGGAGAATAAGGTTTCCAGAGTCCTAGGTGTGCATGCTCTCCCTCGTTGGAGTATTCTTTAGCTGCCGCTCCCGAGACCGTTGTTCATTAATCAACTACCCGTTCTTTGTCCAACGGTTGCTACGTCATGGCGACAGTTAACGGCGTCACAACCATCATCCCTCCACCGGATGGCTACGAGGTCGACTTCGCGAACCCACAGCGGAGGCTGGTGACGGAGACGTACGTGGTTTTCATCGTCGAGAACATCCTGGCACTCGCGTTTCTTGGACAGCGACTCTACACCAAGATTCGGCTTATGAAGCAGTTCCAAATTGACGATGGTATGGTATCCGATGACAGTGGCAGAGAATATCTTCTGACAGAGGTTAGCGTTGCTCCTCCTTGGTTGGGCTTGTTCAGTGGGTACTCAAGGTCTCTTGATAACTGGATTTTCGACCGGTAGTATCGGCGTACACGCCTGGGAAATCTCGATTGAGAAATACGGCTTTTATTCGCGAGTAAGCTGATCATTCTTTGCCTCACCTACCTTTGTTGCGTATGTGCTGATTCGACGACTTGACAGCTCATTCTAGCAGCACCAGTGGTGTATGCTCCTTGCACAGCCCTGACGAAGGTCGCACTCTGCATCTTCTACAGTCGTCTCTCCCCATCCGTCGCCTTCCAATGGGCTGTTTGGATCACCCTTTTCGTCTGCGCTGGTTCGTATACAGCGATCTTCTTCAGTTTGATATTCGCTTGCAAGCCAATTGCAGCTAGCTGGGATCCTCTACTGCTCGCTACGGCAACATGCGTCAACAGAGGGGCAATCTATATTGCCACGGCTGTGATCGGCATCGTGACGGATGTGATGCTGATGGCCATCCCCATTCCGACCGTCTGGGGATTGCAAATGGCGATGAAACAGAAGATTGGACTGACAATCATGTTTTGTGTTGGATCAATGTAAGTGTCCACCGGGAAGGAAAGTCGCGCTACGAACCAATGCTGACTCCATATAGCACAATGGTCACTTCAATCATTCGCCTTATTGTCTTGATCCCAGCTTTGACAGACATGGACCAAACCTGGATCATAGCCGTGGGGTGCTTGTGGATGTAAGGTCTCCGTTAATCTGATATGGTTTCAGGAAACTAACCACAATACAGCGTCGTCGAATCGAATTTGTTCGTCATATGCTGCTGCTTGCCGACCCTGCGACGTTTCCTAAAACACGCGGCCCCGCGATTAGTCGGCGAGAGTCGCGGATCTGAGAACAAAGATTCCTCAGGTCGCAATCGCGGGTTGCGCACCTGGGGGAGTGATGGAAACAGCAAGCGCAAGTATGATACGTTGATGCGCACTGTAGACGGCGCGCAAGGAGACGGCGACGATGAGATTCCTCTTGCTAGCGTGGCACCTAAAGCCTCGGGTGGACGAGAGGCCAAGGTGCCGACCGGGAACGTCTCCTACAAGGGGGACAACGATAGCGAGGAAGCTATCCTGTACGAGCGGACCGTCCAGGTCACGTATGAAGGGGGTAACGGAGGCGACCCTGCGAATCCGTACTCACGTCAGGTCTGGCCAGACGGGCATCTGGCACCCAGTGCCCTGTAAACTTCGCTCCACGCTTGATGCTGGAAGTGCATTTCTCGATATGATTGCTTGCTTACGACATTGCGACGCTTTTGTGGATATCCAAGGTATTTAATCAATGGCTGGGTTTACGATGGATGTCGGATGCAGGGCTGGTACCAACGAGGAGTTGCAGGGTCGCTTGATTTTCAGGATAACAGATTACGTAATCACCATGTCATAGCAAGTCGCGGTTATTGTGGAGCGCCAGCACGCGCCTGCCTCCGCACCATCACAATTTCTATCAGACATGTCTTCTTCCACAACCAAAGCCATCGTCTACAGACCTCCAATTCGAACATTTGTCGATAGGCCATCTGTGATTCTCTATGGAGCTATTCAGTCCGATCCCAACAAGGACTGGCAGGCTCACCTCACAGCCTTGCTCTCCGACCTGCCCATCGCTATCCTGAACCCGCGCCGAGATGACTGGGACAGCAGCTGGATCGAAGACATATCTTTCTCGCCTTTCAAAGAGCAGGTTGAATGGGAAATGGACTACGCGCGCAAAGCCGATGTTATCGTCTTCTATTTCGCAGGCGAGGCTAAGGCATTACAGCCCATCACGCTGCTGGAACTAGGACTGTATGCCGGAACAGGCAAGGCGATTGTTTGCTGTCCAGAGGGTTTCTGGAAAAGAGGCAACGTACAGTTGGTATGTGAGAAGTACAACATTGATTTGGTGGAATCGGTTGAAGAGTTGGGTCACAAGGTACGGATAAGACTGTCGGCCAAGCTTCCTGAGGAGTCAACCACTGCGCTTCCAGAGAACGCCGTGTGACATTGCCTCGTTTTCCTTTTGCGCTTTCAACCACTCGCAATCAATGCCCCAAGAAATGCGCCTTAAGACTGTTGTGTTCAGGTCATTCGATTTCTAATTGTTCAGCTGCCAAGAAAAGCCACAGTATTGCCCCTCGCATTTGGTCTTCTGCATCATCCGCTTAGCCTTGTGTAGCCCGACAGCATGGCTAGCCATTCAGAGTTGTTCATATGCGCGAAGATGTAAGATTGTACGAACGAATCGTAGCCTAACATTGCAAGCCGTCGCATCGTGGGGGTACAGGCCCAACGCAGTGTTCAATGACCGGCCTCGAGCTGAACAGCGGCTTTGCGGATCTAGCCGCGAATTGACTCACACCCAGAAAAGCCATTTCGGGACGAAAGCTGAGTTCCGCGATACGTCACGTGCGTCTGAGGTCTTTACGCGCTGGCTGTTGAGCTCTGCATTCGTCTTTCCACGTGTATCTTCCTTCCTTCAGATCTATGCGCTTTGCATATAGGATTTACGAATATTATCGAGCTACATAGCGACAATGTCTGGAGATCTCCGACTTCTCAGTCTCGATGGAGGAGGCGTACGTGGTCTGGCCTCATTGTATATGCTAAGGAAGATACTATCCTTGGTTGGCAGCCCAAAACCATGTGTCTATTTTGACATGATCTGCGGAACAAGCACAGGAGGTTTGATTGCTATCATGCTCGGCCGACTGGAGATGTCTGTCGATCAGTGCATTGAGGCGTACACTGGACTGATGGACGTCGTCTTCGATCCGAAAGACAGAAAACTGCCTTTCAAAATTCGAAATGGTAAAGTTCAGCCTCGGTACAAAACGAAGTACATGGAGAAAGCGATCAAGCAGGTGATGTCCAACGCTGGGTGGACATCGGATGATAGGTTCAGAGGGTCGAAAACCTCAGCTTGTAAAACGTAACGTCCCAAAGTTCTTCGTCTCGGGACCATACGCTGACTTAGCAAGTGTTGTAATTGCAATGACAGAAGAAAGCCGTGTCCCGATACGCTTCACCGATTATGAGAAAGCAGGCGAGCATTCCAACTTCTACAACGAAGTCAAAATCTGGGAGGTAGCTCGTGCTACTTCCGCTGCAACATCATTCTTTGCGCCAATGGAGATAACCCATTCCGGTGAACCTAGACGATTCCTTGACGCAGGTATCGGCTCCAACAATCCCATCGACGAACTATATCTCGAAGCAATGTCGCTATTCGACAAATCCGAAGAAGAGTTTGACAAGCAGATCCGAGTGCTAGTATCGATTGGTACCGGCAAACCAGCATTACACGGATTCGGCGAGAAAGTCACCGAGGTTGCGAAGAGCATTGCTTCGATCGCAACAGAGACTCAGAACACAGCGAACAAATTCCATCTCACGCATAAGAAACTGGCAAGCAGGGGCGGATACTTCCGATTCAATCCTCCCGACCTCTCTGAAGTGGCGATCGACGAAGCGAGTAAAAAGGGCATTATCGCATCGCGGACTGATACGTACGGCAACGACGCGCAGACTTTGGAGATGGTGGAGCGCTGGGTGAACGTGGCAGGAACCGAGAAAAGTGCGTTGACTCTCGCTAGTGCTGAAGAAATGGACTTTACTTAGATGGTCTCTCATGTTGGTCATGTTGGTCATTTCTCGCAGTATGTAGATCATTGCTAACTACTACCCTGCAATAGAACCAATTATCTCACCGACTCCATCTGCAAATCACATCAAGCCCGCTGTGACGAAACTGTTCTATTCACTGCACAAAGGACCCAAGTACATCAAAGAGTATGCGCCATCATACTGGCAACATCTAACGCTGGACTCATACTACGTGTACGAAACGATATACGACAGATGCAACCCTCAAGACAGAAAAGTCACTTGTACGTATCACAAGTCCAAAGTCAAGCCCTTAGAAACACTAACAGCCTTCCAGTCAGCGCTTTCTTTGAGCAGTTCGGCCCCGATGCAAAGCCATCATCTAACCACGTCTTCGAAACCTGGGCGCGCCTTCTCCGAGACAAGCGCGACGTGCGCAACAGTATACATCGGAAGCCGTTCGTGATGGCGATTTTGTACATGCTCCACGTCGAATCTAGTCTTGATCTCACCAAGATGACAAACATAGACCCTAATCGACGCGAGATGCTGAAACGGTTCTCGAAGTGGGTGCCATGCAAGTGTGATGCTAGGTGTGGCCGCGAATGGAACTTCGTGAATGAGGTCGGGCTATCGCGCGGCGGAAATGGTGGTGATGAATGTGATCTTCTGCAGTTGTTTGACGATAGCAAGTGGAAGTTAGTGTTCAAGAGCGATAAAGTGCGGAAACTAGATGCGACCAGGAAGGCATGGGAAGCTTCGATGTGAGATGAGGGCAGATGTCGCTTGCTGCTTGTGTTCGTTGGAACTAGTTGACAGTTTTCTCAAGATAGAATTTAGATACTAGGTTAATATACAAAGCAACTCGCGACAAGTCCATTGATGATATCTCGCTAACTACGTCCTTCATGCTCAGTCTGAGGAGCATCGAAGTCGCCAATAGAGTATTCGTGTAGCCACTACAAGCTAATGGTCATAAAATCTGTTGCCAAAGGTGCTGCCCGATTCGTGCACTGTCGACATCGGCCGTGGCATCTCACTCGCAGTGGGCCCAGAGTAGTCACTATCACTAGGAGCCTCAGATGGCGGCACATTCGGATGTGCTCCGGGAGGCGTCAGGCCGCTCCATTTAGCCATGATCTCATCCCGAGATCCGCCATATGATGGTATAATTTCGGTACGGGGTCCTTGAGTAACAGTCGGCTCGTATGGTAACTGAGAGGGCTGGTTATGTTGAACAACGTCGACGTTTCTCTGGTGGCGCGGCCGGTACCAGCAGAAATATCCAATTAGCAGAGCGATGACAAGTAAAGCAATACCAGCCACCGTTATGAGAGCAATAGCAGTGGTACTGATTGGATTACTGCTGCTGCCACCACTACCTCCACTACCACCGGCCGTGGGGTTTTTGCTACCGGCGGTGGGCTGGAGCCCGCTAGTGATCGATCGCAGGAAATCATCGATACCCGTGGTGCCGGATCCCGTGGTCAGAACTTCTCCTTCAACTGTTGATGTCGCAAGCACGAGAATGTCGTCTGAAGCTGATCCGCATGCCCATGAGTAGAATGTATTCTTGTCGCCAAGGGCAGAAGTGCGAGCGTAGCGGAAACACTGTTGTGCTTGCTGCGAACTGTAGACTGAGATGAGCATTCATTCTATTACGAAAACTCTGGAGGGCATACCATTGAAGAATTGAGCCATATATGGACGAGCAGGTGTCGGCTGGGAGGGAATAACCGAAACAATCTGTCTGACCGTACGGTCTGCATGTAGCCCAATTATCGAGACACTCAACGTTATTGCAGCATGCGAAGCCGAGGTCAAGTTGTTGTGTAGTGATGCAGTTATAGTTTTCCGCACATGTGATGGGTAATTCTGTTGCAGGTTAGATGTTGGCCGCATCCCCCAGGGTAAAGATCAATGCACCTGAGTTGCCACGAATGAAGCCGCATGTCGCAACGGATCTTTTGAATATATCGCCATGTAAAACAGGAGCCGGCGTGATAAGACTCTCTGGTATCGCTACCTGTACTCCTGTCGCCCGTACTTGTGGATTGGGGATGTCTTTTCCAGCGACCAGCGCGGCGATATTCAAAACATAGAAGCGGAGACTTGGTCGCATCGTCATCTACGGTAAAGCGGTATGGAACAAGTTCGTGTGGTGTTGTGAGTGCCAGCGAGGAATGCGGTTTGTGCACATGCGCTGTACCTGCTTCTACCCTCGGCTACCCTTGTTCCACGAGCTGAGAGAGCAAAGTATCAGCCTTCCTGCGCAAGTATGCATGTGTAACACATCGGTCTGGCCGAGCGCCACCAAATAACGATATCTCGTATCTTTGGGTATCATGGATGCCGACGGCTTGTAGGACCTTGGGTTAAGCGTGGGGTGATTCATGCAAGCCTATTGAAGCACCTGTAGGCAGCAATGTCAGCCGTTGTCCGAACGGACCTATCGCGACAGTTTTCTTCTTGAGGACTCTGTATGAAATTAGTGATAATCAAATGGTGTTGTACGCTGATCTGTAATGCCTAGGTTGTTGGCGAGAATAACAACCTGTTCGTGCGATCAAGTCCTAAATGCCAAGTTCCGCAAGGCTGAA